GGGGGGGGGGGGGGGGGGGGGGGGGGGGGGGGGGGGGGGGGGGAGGGTGATAAACAAAAACCAAATATACAGATACGTAATCTGTCATTTGGTGGTAGGAGCTATGGAGAAAAATAGAGGCAGATTAAGGGTGTACAGAGTTTATTTGTAAATTGTATATGTATATCTATATTTTTATATGTATGTATGTATATGTATTTGAAAAAGTAACATAAAAAATTTAGAAAGTACAAGTATGTAAAAGAATAAAATAAAAGTTACGTATAATCCTGCTATCTTTGCAACCCTAAATAATTATTTACATTTTGATATATGACCACCAAGATTGTGTGTCTCTGTGTCTGTGCGCACATTTTTTAAAAAGGGGAGGGGAGGATCATGTTATATATTTCAATGTACTTCTTTAAGCTACAAGTATAAATGGACTCTTTCCATAACAATATCTTTCTACAGCATCTTTTTTTTAATCGACACGCTAGTAATGAACATTTAAGTTATTGTCAGTGTTTTTGTATTATAAGCAATGATGTGAAAACATTACTTTTTATTTCTCCCTTTTTCTTTTTCTTTCTTCCTTTTTTTTGGTGAGGAAGATTGGCCCTGAGCTAACCTCTGTTGCCAATCTTCCTCTTTTTCGCTTGAGGAAGATTGTCCCTGAGCTAACACCCGTGCCAATCTTCCTCTGTTTTGTATATGGGATGCCACCACAGCATGGCTTGATGAACAGTGTGTAGGTCCACGTCTGGGATCAAACCTGCCAACCGCAGGCCACTGAAGCAGAGCCCACTAACCTAACTACCATGCCACCAGGATGGCCCCTCATTTTTTAAGATAATAACAATTTTATTGAATGCTTAGTATGTGCCGTATATTGCTTTGAAAGCTTTACGTGTATCAACTTACTTAATCCTCATAAAAATCCTATGATGTGTGTACTGTTATCAGCATTTTGCACATAAGAAAACCGAGGTACTGAATAGTTAAGTAACTTTCTCAGAGTCACACCACTAGTAAGTGGAGTAGCTGAATTTGAACTCAGGCTGCCTAGCTCCAGAGCTCAGGCTTTTAATAGTTCTATCCATCCATTTTTATTTCTTTAGGATAAATTTCTGGGAGAAAAGAAATCACTAGATCATAAATTAACAATATATTGCAATAGATCAAAAGGGCAGAAATATATATCTACCTAAGAGAGAACATCCTTGTGCAAGTTACCTAGAATCATATCAGAATTAAAAGGAGACAAGTTGTGCTTCCAGAACACGGCCTTCCCTGACTTGTTTGAAAGGTCATTCTTCCACCAATAGCCTTTTCTGTAGCTGGTGTATGGGCACTTATTTCTAGGCTGAAAAGGCAGGGAACTCCCCCAAGTCCTGTTTTCGTAGATCTGTGTCCTTTCCCATGAGCAGCAGAAAATAACCAGTTTCCAGGCAAGACATCCATCCATCCATCCACCTATCCATCCATTTATTCGTTCAAATGCTACTTTGTTTTCTGGTGAATTGCAGTGACTTGTAAGAATCCATATATCAAAGTAGAAAACTATTAATAGATAAGAATATAAACAGGAAAAATATAGATTGAAAGTTAAATTGAACAGAAAGTTAGAAAATTGATATGGAGGCTATAGGGTCTACACAAGTTTGTAATGTTGAGATGCCAATCTTGAAAGTTATAGAAAAAGAATACTCAATCAGTGAAATTGTCAGCCTTGTCCTAGAGAATAAGGTGTAACAATTCCATAAGTAAAGGTTTTCCTGGCACTTATAAAAGAAAAATTTTTGATGAGTGTTTACGTAGGAGATTTTGTTATAAATGCAGTAGCAGTTTTCATGTGACCATTTTTTAGTGTCACTTTATGTAAGCAGAATACATGAGGCCAGAGCAGTGCTCAGTGAACTTAATATTTTGTCTCTTTTTCCTTCTCTTCCTCTCTCCCTCTCTCCATATATATGTATACATGTATGTATATATACGTATGTATGTATATGTATATATTGGGAGAGTTTTCATATGATTTTGTTCTCTCACAAATTTTAATTCCAAATCAAGTACATAGCAGTTTTTGGTTATCCTATATAACTTATTGCAAGCTCTGAACAGTGAGTATAATCAGAGGAATTGCTCTGAATCCGCTCCACATCCACCAGTGGAGCTCTCTCTAGGTTGAAAATGAATGTGCTGTTACAGGGATCAGTGACATTCCAGGATGTGGCTGTGGACTTCACCCCAGAGGAGTGGCAGCTGCTTGACTGTGATCAGAGAACCTTGTATTGGGATGTGATGCTGGAGAACTTTAGAAACCTCGTCTCAGTGGGTAAGGACAGTGGGTGGTAGCTTTTCCGTGTAACTCAGAATGTATTAATAGGGCCCTTCCTTTAAGACTTGTGAAGGCTGTGACCGTTCTGAAACATTAATAAGTTTGGTCCTGAGTTTTAGTGGGCAGAGATTCTTAATCCCCTTTAGGGATCAAGTAGTCTGTTTATGCTTCTCCCTCCCAAATGGAGGAGAAGGGTCTTTTCTGTTCTAAGGTCCATTTGTCGTCGTTTACAGGCCCTGAGACTCAAGGAGGCAGCCCTGAATTGTGAGGTAGTTGTTTGTCCCTAGCACTTTGCCTCCAGTTCTGTGTTGTTTCCCATGAACAGGGGGTCCAGTTACCAAAACTAAAGTGATCTTTAAGGTGGAGCAGGGACAAGAGGCGCAGATGGGAGAGGGAGAGAGCCCACGTTGGAGCTGTCCAGGTGAGTGGGGGAACCAGGCAGGTGGAGTCTTTGGAATTGAGATGCCAGTGGGTCAGTGAGCCACAGGCAACTTGGAAATACTTTTCAGGAAGCACCTCTTAAAAGCCACACACCTTTGGAAGGGACTGGGTACACTTGACATAGCATCATCATCTCCCCAAATGACACCTTCCGTTTCACTGTCCCCACACAGCTGCTCTTTCTCTTTGCTCAGCTCTCGTGTGGAGGGATGTGCCTCTCCTCTCTCCTCTGGCTCCTCGCACTGCCTGTTTCAGCGAGGTCCTTGCTTTGTTCTCTTAATTCCTGCAATCCTCATTCTTCCCTCCTCCACGTGACCGCAGATCTTTTCCATACAGTTAGTTCTTACAATGTAGTCAGATTGTGTGGATTTGAGAAATGAGGAATGATAAAAGAGTCCAGAGTGTTGAACTAATAAGATTCCCTCTTGAAAGAAGGAAACCTCAGAAATAGTGAGGAATTTTCTTCTCCTCCCTTTTCCCTGACTTTATCATATCAGTGGACTTAGCATTTGTAGAGTGTCGAGCTTGGCAGGGATAGTGTCACACTGGACATGGTGTGGCATCATGGTAACAGTCAGAATTAACTTTCTTAAGCACAAAATATATAAAGGCAAAGGTTGGTAAAGACTAGGAGTCTTGTGTTTCAGGTCCCCAGAGTTAATGGAAGCCCTAAGTGTGGAAAACAAAATGTGAAATTTGAGTTGAAGAGTGCGGTGTCAGGGGCAAAGAAGGATTCTGGAGGCCAGTACATCTGGCAGACTGAAAGAGGTTATAAAAAGCAGGATTAATTATTAGGACAAATTTCACGTCAAGTGGTAGAAACAGCTGATGATAGAAGCAAAAGGAATTTAAGTCTGGTCTCTCTTAAACCTTCTGCTGGGCCTCTGTGTTCCTGGGTATATCTAGGCGTTGGAGAATGAATCCTAGCTAGACGGGGAGTTGGAGAACTTTCTACAAATATGCCACAACTGTGGTTTGGATGGTTTAGGAGGATATAGGAATGTGCCTCTAGATACAAGGGAGTTAATGGCTTAGCAAAATTCATTTGGTAGTTATGTGCGGCATGAGTAAGGAGAAAGAGAGGTGTATGAAAGAGACTAGGGAGTGTCCTAACAGGATAATTTAAATTTTAGATGTTGTAGACCTTGACTCTGATCAAATTTCTCCAAACCAATCCACCTCTTCTCATTTCCCCATAAAGCCTTATCTCCTTGTTCCCTGATTACCTGACTCAGTCATTCCTCTGAAATGGCTCACTGCCCTCTCAGAGCTTACTCTGCATCCTTGTCGAGAGTCCTTTTTAACTTCCTATGTCATCGTTATGACTTGACTTTGTGCCTGTTTCACCATCTCTCACAGGTTGGAAAGTCATATTTACAAATAGAAAAATCTACTTGTTCTCATTATTGTTTTCCAGAAGCCTCCATTTCAGCAATGTTTTCCTTAAAGCTCAGGGGCAGGAGAAATACAGATTTCTCTTTTGTTTTGCTGTCCCAAATGGGAAACTAGACCTGAAACCGGAGATGTTTTTTGTGGTAAGAAACACGTGATATGAAATCTACCCTTTGACAGATTTTTAAGCATGCAGTACAGTGTTGCTAACCATTTCCACAGTGTGGTACAGCAGATCTCGCGTGACTGAAAGTCTGTACCCATTGAACAGCAACTCCCCATTTCCCCCTCCTCCCAGCCCCTGGCAACCGCCATTCTACTTTCTGCTTCTGTGTGTTGACTGTTTTAAATACCTGGTATAAGTGGAATCATGCAGTATTTGGTCTTCTGCGACTGGCTTATTTCACTTAGCTTAATGTCCTTGACGTTCATCCATGTTGTAGCATATGACAGGATTTCCTTCTTTTTTAAAATATGTGTATACCATATTTTCATTATCCATTCATCTGTCAGTTAACATTTAGATTGTTTCCAGCTCTTGGCTGTTGTGACTAATGCTGCAATGAACATGGGAGTGCAAATATCTCTAGGAAATCCTGTTTTCGGGTTTTTTGATAAATACCCAGAAGTGGGATTGCTGGATACTGTGGTGGTTCTATTTTTGATATTTTGAGGAAACTCCATATGTTTTCCATAGTGGCTGCACTGTTTTACATTCCCACCAATGGTGCACAAGAGTTCCAACTTCTCCATACCCTTGCCAACACTGTTGTTTTCTGTTTTTTTGATAATGGACATCCTAACTGATGTGAGGTGCTATCTTATTGTGGTTTTGATTTCTATTTCCCTGATGATTAGTGATGTTGAGCATCTTTTCATATACCTGTTGACTATCTGTATGTTTCCTTTGGAGAGAAGTCTATTAAAGTCCTTTGCCCATTTTTTTTGCTATTGAGTTATAGGGGTTCCTTATATATTTTGGATATTAAGCTCTTATCCAATATGTGTTTTTTAAATATTTTCTCCTATTCTGTAGGTTGCCTTTTCACTCTGTTGATTGTTTCCTTTGCTGCACAAAAGCTTTTCAGTTTGATGTTAGTTTTAGTCCATTTTTGCTTTTGTTACCAGTGCTTTTGGTTATCATATCCAAGAAATCATTGCCAAGACCAATGTGATGAAGTCTTTCTCCTATCTTTTCTTCTAGGAGTTGTATAGTTTCAGGTCTTACATTTAAGTCTTTAATACATTTTGAGTTGATTTTTGTGTATGGTGTAAGAGTAGGGTTTAATTTCACTCTTATTATGTGTGCATATCTGGTTTTCCCAGCATCATTTGTTGAAGAGACTATCCTTTCCCATTGGGTAGCCTTGGCAACTTGTTGAAGACTGTACGTTCATGGGTTTATTTCTGGGCTCTATTCTGTTCCATTGGCCTATATGTCATCTTTATGTCAGTACCATATTATTTTGATTACTGTAACTTTCTAATATGGTTTCAAGTCAGGAAGTGTGAGGCCTCCTGCTTTGTTCTTCTTTCTCAAGAATGTTTTGGCTATTTGGAGTCCTTTGTGGTTCTATATGAATTTTAGAATTGTTTTTTCTATTCCTGCAAAAAGTGCCATCGAGATTGCATTGAATCTGTAGATCGCTTTGGGTAGTATGGACATTTTAACAATAGTAAGTATTCTAGTCCATGAACACAGGATGTCTTTCCATTTATTTGTGTTTTCTTTAATTTCTTTCAGCAGTGTTTTGTAGTTGTCAGTGTACAAGTCTTTCACCTACTTGGTTAAATTTATTCCTAAGTATTTTATTCTTTTTGATGCTATTGTAAATAGGATTGTTTTCTTTATTTCCTTTTTGGATTGTTTGTTTTTAGTGTGTAGAAATGCAACTGATTTTTGTATGTTGATTTTGTGTCCTACAACTTTGCTGAATTTGTTTATTAGTTCTAATAGTTTTTTTGTGGAATCTTCAGGGTTTTCTACATATAAAATCATGTCATCTGTGAACAGAGATGCTTTTACTTCTTCCTTTTCAATTTGGATGTCTTTTCTTTCTTTTTCTTACCTAACTGGTCTAGCTAGGACTTCAGTACTATGTTGAATAGAAGCAGTCAGGATAGGCATCTTGCCTAGAACAGTAGTCTTTAAAATTTTTCTTTCTATAACATGATATTGGAAGGAGTAACTGGGAATGTTTCATTTTGCTCCTGTTTAGAAGTTATCTACTTACTTGATGAGCTAGAGAAACAGGAGGGTAGCAAAGACAATTTTATGTTCACTTTCAAGAAAGCACTGACCAAGCAGAGAGTCCAAAATTGTAATCTGAGTATAAACTTTATTTCTTCAAGACAACATAAATGTGAATCAAATGGAAATAATTTGCAACCTAATTTACACTTAGTTATAATAAAAGTTATATTGGAGAAAACTCTTATGAATACACAGAATGTGGCAACACCTTCAAAAACAAGTTTTGTATCATTAGACATGAAAAAAAGCATACAAGAAAAAAGACCTTTGGATGCAATGAATGTGAGAAAACCTTCCAAAAGAAGTCTCATCTCATTAGACATAGAAAAAAATCATACAAGGAAAAAAAAAAATCTTTTGAATGCAATGACTGTGGGAAAGCCTTTAACAGTAGGGGACACCTTATAGCTCATCAAAAAATTCATAGTGGAGAGAGACCCTTTGTGTGCAATGATTGTGGGAAAGCATTTATGCATAAAGCACAACTGGTGGTCCACCAGAGACTTCACACTGGAGAGAAGCCCTATGAATGTCGTCAGTGTGGGAAATCCTTCACTTGGAACTCCTCCTTTACTCAACATGTGAGATCTCATACACTCGAGAACTCATTTGCATGTAAGGAATGTGGGAAAACCTTCAGGTACAGTTCGTCCCTTTATAAACATTCTAGATTTCATACAGGAGAGAAACCGTACAGACACAGAGAATGTGGCAAAGCCTTTGCAGACTCATCAGTGCTTGTCATGCATCAGAGAATTCATACAGGCGAGAAACCCCATGGGTGTCCTGAATGTGGCAGAGCCTTCATCAAGAAGTCACATCTCCTTAAACATTCTTTAACTCATACAGCAGAGCAACAAAATAAATGTCACACATGTGGGAAATCTTTTAACCAGAAGATTCATCTCATTCTCCATCAAAGAAGTCATAAAAACATGGAAGCTTTGTGAATGTGGGAAAACTTAAAATTAGCTTTTTAATAAAGCAGCAAAGAATTCATCATGAAAAAGCCCTGTCAACTGAATAAACAGGGAAAAGCATGTTCTGAAACTCATATTCTGTAAGTAGTATTACTAATTTTATTGAAAAGATTACAGAAAATTTTGAGTTTTATTTGGCATTATGATCTGTGCTCTGTGCTCTTTGCTCCCTTTCTTAAATACCAGAATTAATAGAGTAAAAGAATTAGCTAAGTATGAACCATAATGAATCAAAATTAAACAGATGTTTGAAAATTGAAACAAGGTATAATTTATTCATTTATTTTACTATTTAAACCAAGTCATTGTCAGGTGCTGGGGGATAGAAAGCATTATATTTAAAAGATACTTACGAGGGGGGGATGAACAGGTTTTTACATCAACATATGTGCTTATGATTGCAAGGCGAATGAACTGGTCCGGGTTTGGTGAATGGAACTCCCCCTCAGTGGCGGAAATGTAAATTGGCATAATCTTTTGGACCACGGTTTGGTAATGTGATTAAAAGTCTTAAAACTTCATACCATTTGACTGAGCAATTCCATTTCTAAGAATCTGTCCTAAGGAAATAATTAGACATTTGGTAAATGACTCACGTACAAAGGTATTTATCATTGTGTTATCTACACTAGCAACAGTTACTGCAGTACTCAACCAGCCCTCAGATCTACTTAGTGGCTTATAACAACAAAGATTTATTTCTCACCCCTAACACAAGCCCATGCTGGACAGGCTGGGGACTCAACTCCACGTTGCCTCACTCTGGAACCATCCTGAACATATTTGTTACCTACTGCTGAATAACAAATTACTCCAAAACTTGGTAGCTTAAAACAACAAACAATTATTAGCTCACAATCTGTGGGTCAGGAATCTGGCATAGCTTTGCTAGATCCTCTGTCTCTTATGAGACTGCAGTCAAAGTGTTGGCTGGGACTACAGTCATCTCTAGGCTGAACAGAAGGAAGGACAGGCTTCCAAGCTCACTTATGTGGTGATTGGCAGGCCTCAGGAGAGCCACTTCCAAACTTACTCACGTGGCTGTTGGCAGGCCTGAGGTCCTACCTGGTGGGAGACATCAGTTCTTTGCCACACAGACCTCTCCGGGTCCCACAAGAACAGCTCACAACAAAGCAGCTGGCTGCTCTTAGAGTGAGCAAGGGAGCGAGGGAGGGTAAAGAGGACAAGCAAGATGGAAGCCAGAATCGTTCTGTAACCTAATCTTGGAATTGATATCCCATCACTTTTGCTATATTCTCTGTTCCTTAGAAGCAAGTCACTAGGTTCAGCCCACACTCAAGGATAGTGGATTGCAAGGGCTTGAGTATCAGGAGAAGGGGTCACTGGAGGCCATTTTAGAGGCTGTCTGCCACACTGAACATTACAATTTCTGGGGCAGAGGGTAAAGAAACATGACAAATTGTGCACTGGCTCTTAAAAGATTCCTTTTGGAAGTGGCACACGTTACATTACTACACATTACCTTGCTCATATTTTGCAGCCAAACAAGTCATGCTGTCACCACTAACTTCCAAGGGATGGGAAATTGCAGTTCTACCACATACTGGGAAGAGGAAACCCATTATATTTGTGAGTGGCACTGACTACCACAGCTGCAGGTTCAACAGTGGGAGAATAGTTTAAAATTTTTGATACATCCACATACAGAACATGATGTAACTCTAACTCTAACAGATCTTAAGCAGGATATCTCCTTTAGCCCAGGATGGAAACTAGGATCAACAAGTGAGGATCATCAAATACTCTACATTATTTTATTTTTTAAAAAGCCACAGATAATTGGGGGCCCGGCAACTTCTCCACTTCCACGACTTAGTAAAAAGTAACCAAACCGACTTCTCTATCCTCAACCATCTTCCCAGACCTGCTCCACCCATCCCCTCAACCTCATATAACTAGAAGATTGGTTGGAGGGGCGGAATGGGAATCACAAGCGTCATGAATCAGCCCTGGGGGAGAGTGCCCTGGTGTTTCTCTCCAAAAATCAAGTAAGGATTCCAAGAGCTTCCCCCCACGGAGACTGGGGCTACTTGCAAGAAGCTCCTGGAAGCCTGTACGGAGACAGCAAGGCAGAGACGGGCGGCCAAGCGGCTACCACGTTAAGCACACTATCTGGGGGAGGGGTGGGCCCAGAGGGTGGAAGAGGTCACACTGGGGTGGAGCCACCCATCAGAGGACCGTGCGGGAGGGAGGGCCGCCCCGACCGGCCCCGCGCCACCCTGCCTTAGAACGCCTGCCCGCCAGAGGCGCCTGTGCAGCCGTCAGTGGGAACCAGCGCGGTGACATCCCAGAGAGCGACAGGCCACGAGGGAGACACCGGTCCGTCTCCGCACTCTCAGTCCCCAACCCCCAAAGGAGCCCGACCCCGACGTGCGAGGGAGGACAAGTCATCCCGGCCCGCCCCTCCGGGAGCTCCGCGGGACGGCCGAGCTTCTACAGCGGCAGGAGAGAGGCTGCGGGCACTCCCATTGTCGCAGACCAGGAAATAAAATTAAAAAGTGGTCTTTCTCCCCTCAGCAAGGCGGAAAGAGGCGTTTCCACACGCCAGGCTGACGGCTGGGCCAGCGGACCCGGGTGCTACCGGGCGGACCCAGGGGGCGCGCCGCAGGGGCTTGTGGGAGTGTCCGCGGCTCTCTCCGCGCAGGCGCAATGCGGCCGGGCAGCGGGCTCGGCCCCGCGGCCAGGTGCCGTGGAGGTGAGGCTGGGAGGCTCTTCGCGGCAAGACTGGAGGGGCTCCTGGGTCAGCGGGAAGATGGAGATCAAAGGGCCAGAATGAGGGTGGGATTGAGGGACTTGAAACTTCAAATCTGGGGCCCGGGAGCGATGGTCCCCAAAAGAGTGTGGCGCTGCGGTTTGCCTGTGGAGGGTTCTCCAAAGCAGTCTCTTCACCCAGCTCCGCTCACGGCGGGCAGGAGCGTTAGTGGAAGCTGCCGCCCGAGTGACTTCAGGGTCCCTTTCTCCTTCAGACTCCAGTCTTGTCTCAACAGCCCTGTGCCCGGCTGCTCCCGGCTGTGAGCCCCTCAAATCGGGGCCGCGATCACTGGGTAGCGGCAGTGCGGGTCCGCCGTGTCTCTCCCCTCGCAGAGCAGCGTGTGCAAGGTGCCTCCACCCTTTGGTGCCTCAGGTTTCTCCCTAAGCGTTTGGTCGCCTGCTTTGCAATCCTGTGTCCAGAGCCCCCTATCCTGAGTTCCTCCAGGTATGTATCCAGGGACGAGCTTAGTGTAACTCTGAGCCTGGCTGGGTTTCCGACTATGGGCCTCCCGCTGGCCTCGCAGAGACTTGGGGCCTGGGAGAAAAACGCCAGCCAAGAAAAAGCTCTTCCCGAGCCCATAGGAGTCAGCTGTGCTCTTTCGAGTGAAGGCTGCAGCTCCACAGGCAGCTGGTACCCGTCTTGAGAGCACGCACCTGTGACCTGAGGCCTCCTGCCAAACCTATGAGCCAAGGCTGGAGTCTGGAGGTGGAAGGGGTTCTGGAGCTGCTGGGGCTGCAGAGGTTACTTAGCAAGGCTTGGGTCAGGCGGCCACTTTCAGAGAACAGGGAGGGACCGTGCGGGTTTTGACTCAGAATAGAGGGGAGACGATTTACCTAAGATCGTGAACGATCTGTAGGGTGGAGAAGAGAGGGCATCATAGGTCAGGGCGATTGAGAGAATGGTTCGGGCAGGGCATAAACAGTTGTCCCAGCTGGCCACTCTGGGAGCTGCAAGGCAGGCTTGGTGTCTCATGGTTCCTTTCTCGCCCAGCTCTGCCTCCTTAACTCCCTGACCTTGCCCAAGAGGAAGATGAGATGACCAATTCCCAGGTGAGGTGCAGTTTTCCTTTTTCAGTCTAGAAGGTGTCTAGAGGAAAAAGACAGTTCCTCTTCCTTCCTTAGGAAAGAAGGAAACCAACATTTATGGAGCACTTACTGCATGCTAGATATACATAACATTGATTTTTCTTTTAATTCTCACAACGGTTGTGAGAAGTGGATGATATTCCCATTTTACAGATGAAGCAAGCAGCTCAGTGAGGTGTAGACACTTGTCAAATTCGCCGAGCTATTAGATGGTGGAGCCGGGATTCATCTCTTAAGTCTGTTGTCTCTGCTGTCCTTGTTGTCAGTGGACAAGTCTTCTTATCCAGGGACTGAGTCTAAATTGTCCACATCTAGAGGACTGGGCCTAATCTGTGAAATGAAGAACTCCAAAGGAAGTGCTCCCTTCTTTAATTTTGGTCTCTTCTATACCTAACATTCATTTATCTGCTCAGTCATGGCTGCTCTGTGCTCATTTGTAAGACCAAAACAAATTGACTTAGATACAGTTCTTACTTCAAAGTGTGCAGTTTCTTTGGGGGAGATCAATATGTTCATGCATAAAATAGAGATGACAGCAGTCCCCCGTTACCTGAGGGGAGGGATTCAGAGATCCCCAGTGGGTGCCTGAAACCATGGATAGTACTCAACTCTATACATACTGTGTTTTCTCCTAAGCAACAGGTTACCAGCCGGGTAGTGTGTGCAGCGTGGATACGCTGGACAAAGGGATGATTCACATCCCAGGCAGGCTGGCAGCACGGGTCACAACTGGCACACAATTTAAAATGTACGAATTGTTTATATCTGGAATTTTCCATTTCTTATTTTCAGACCATGGTTGACCTGGGGTAACTGAAAGTCTGGACATTGAATCTGAGGAAAGTGAAACTACGGGTAAGGGGAGACTACTACTCATGTATACAGTAAATAAATTGAAAAGAAGCCATCGCTGAGTGCCAGTCTGAGGACTGCAGTCAGTGGTATCTGTGCTAGAGGAGAGAAAAAATCAGTGTGCACCAGGTGATCAAGGAAGACTTCCTGAAGGAGGTGAGCTTTATATTTCTTAAAGATTGGAGTATATAGTGAGCTTCCATACCTCTTTCAAGTCTTCTCTTTTGTTGCTCATAATTGCTTTATGAGCTGGTATCTGATCAGTTTTTTACAATGTTTCATGTGTGCTTGAGTGGAATGTATATTCTCTAACAGTAGGTGCCAACTTCTGTAGGTGTCCATAAAATCTGACTTGTTCAAAATTTCTGTACCTTTACTAATTTATTTTTCTTTGCTTGACCCATCAGTAAGTGAGAAAAATATGTGTGGAATCTCTTTGAGTACTAGATATCTCAATTTCTCTCTGTACTTCCATTTTTAAAAATGTAATTTGAGGATGTTTTATGAGGTATATAAAAGTTTACAGTTGTTATATCTTCATGGAGAATTGAACTTTTTATCCTTATGTAGTCACATTTTATATCACTGGTGATGCTTTTTGTCTAGAAATCTATTTTGTGTGATGTTGGTATAGCTATTCCAGCTTTCTTCTGGTTCTTATTTGCCTGGTTTGTCTTTTCCCATAATTTTACTTTCAACTTTTTCATGGCCTTTTGCTTTTGGTGTATATCTTGTTAACAGTTTATAGCTGAATTCCCCCTCTCCCCCTCAATCTGATGATTTCTGCCTTTTTAATTAGCAAATTTAGTCTATTTGCATTTAGTGTAGTTGATATATTTGATGTGTTTATCTTACATTTTAATTTTATTTGTCCATTTTTTTTCCTGTTTTTTCCCTCCTTTCTTACCTTTTTGTTCCTGTTGTTTTTTAAGTGGTCAGAGCTTCTTTCCCTGTGTTCTTGTTTGAAATTTATAACCTATATCTATTGTTTTGGAGGTTACCCTTGAAATTTTATTATGCATATTTGCAAGTTTAAGTTTAAATGTGTTAATCCCTTTTAGAATAATGCAAGGACTTTAAAACTCTTTAGTACTGATCATATCCCTGTTTGACTTATAAGCTATTGTTTTCTGCTTTTTAATTCTGTCCTTTTAATAAATTAGATGTTATTCAAGCCATTATTTTATACAGACAGTGTTTGTTTGGATTTACGTATATATTTACCACTTGTTTGCTTGTTGTTCCCTCTTGTATCTCGGCCCTTCCTTCTGGGGTCACTTTTCTTTTTCTGGAAGTACATTCTTTAGACGTTCCCTTTTAATGCATCTTTAGACATTCCATTTGCTTTTTTTTTTTTCACAATTGCATGTTATTTCCAGATAATTCCTTTGCTTGATCATGTTATAATTGCATCTTTTATTTTTTTAAATAACTCTTGTATTGCTGTTCTGGTTCTGTATCTGATAGTTTAAATATCTGTAATTGCTGGTAATCTAAATCTGTTTTCTGCTGACTCTCACCTTTGACTTTAATTGTAAGCTCACTGATTGCTCTTAGTATATATGTATGAGTCCCATGGGAAATTTATCTCCAGAGAGAATTGACTTCTGTTTCTGCCAGTAGCTTAGAAGATGCCACTAACATGGGATGATTCCAAGTCCTCATGGGTCCCGGGTTAGGCTAAGCTCCCCGTCCTGCAGGATACAGGGTCCCATATCCCATAGCATTGCTGCTGTTGGCATCTCTCCAAGGGGCAAACCCATCCCTTCCAACTGCCTGTCACTCTGGTCTCAGGTCACTGGGTTGTTTTGTTTTATTTTTTCCTTTTCAGTTGTGGTGAAAAGAGTTGTCCTTTTTCTTTGGTTCTAGTTAGATGGAATTCCTTGTTTTTGTAAAATAATGTTACTGACCTGTAAAACTTATAAATATTTTTACCATCTGATTTGGTATTTTTCAACTTCACTAGTAATCCAGGAGATGTTAATTATAATATAATGAAATGGCATTTTTGCCACTTGTCAAATTGGCAGAGATTTCCAGTAAAACCAAGACTCTCAAATACTTTTAAATTAAGTGTCATTTTGCCACAAACTTTTTGAAGGGCTTTTGGAAATATGTGTCAAAAGTCTTTGACCTCACAATTCTACTTCTAGGAATTTTCCATAAGAAAAAGAGCTGATGAATGTATAAAATTTAAATACAGTGATATCACTTGCAGTACCATTATAATAATGAAAACGGGGAAGCAACTTAAGTGTCCAGTATAGGGAGATTCTTAAATAAATTATGATATAACCACGTGGTGAACCACTATGCAGTCATTAACAAGGTGTGGAAGAATATTTACTAATAAGGAAAAATGTTCATGATGTTTTCTTTCAAAAATGTTAAAAAAAATCTCCAATTTTTAAAATTTTCATATATATTCCAAAATGTAAGTACGGTTGTCCTCTCTTATCCATGGTTTCACTTTCCACAGTTTCCGTTACCCCCAGTTAACTGCCATCCAAAAATATTAAGTGGAAAATTGCAGAAATAAACAATTCATAAGTTTTAAATTGCACACTGTTCTGAGTAGTGTGATAAAATCTCATGCTGTCTGCCATCAACTCTGTCCTACCTGGGATGTGATTATGCCTTTGCCCAATGTATCCACCCTTTATTTGCTACCTGCCTCATAGTCATTAGTAGCCTTCTTGGTTATCAGATCGATAGTCGTGGTATTTCAGTGCTTGTGCTCACGTAACCTTATTTTAGTTAATAATGGCCCCAAAGCACAAGGGTAGTGATGCTGGCAATTCAGATATGCCAAACAGAAGTCATAAGGTGCTTCCTTTAAGTGAAAAGGTGAAAGTTCTCACTTAATAAGGAAAGAAAAAAATTGTATGCTGAGGTTGCTAAGATCTAAGGTAACTTTTACTACAGTATATTGTTATAATTGTTCTACTTTATTATTGGTTATTGTTGTTAATCTCTTACTAAGCCTAATTTATAAATTGAACTTTATCATAAGTATGTAAATACAGGAAAACACAATGTATGTAGGGTTGGGTACTGTCTGCGGTTTCAGGCATCCACTGGGGTCTTGGAATGTGTCCCCTGCAGATAAGGAGGGACCACTGCAGTAGTTATTTTTGGGCAATGTGATTATATATTTTGTATTCTTTTCTGTAGTTTTCTCTATTTTCTATAATAATTAGCACTTTTGTTATCAGAAAAAAGCAAACGAAATGTGATTCTCTTTGTGGGGGTGGGAGGTGGGGGTTATTTGACGTGTTCGTTGCTTTGACATCAAATTTTCTTTCCATAGATGAATGGTAATTATGTCAGTACGTACCCTAGGAAAAAAGTCATAATTTAAGTGTCTAGCCTAGAAATACAAGCCAGCACCGTGTCAAACTGGTGGGCTAGATTAGAGACTAAGAGTTGCCAATGTATTTTTTTTTATTATATAAAAAGAGTTTGGAGCATTTAGAAAAATCCTAAGCCAAGTGAATAAATAGTACAGCTGTATTGCAGAGACATTCTAGAAGCAAGGAATGTAAAGAAAAACCAGAGATTGTACTTTCTTTACATAAGAGCAAATAGAGCATGGGCTGAGAGGTTTCCCTTATATCAGCAGCTAATTTATGTGTGTCTGCTACTCACTGTGTGCAGGATCATTATAGATGTGAGAACGTTTCAACACTGCAAGTGATTTTTCAGCATAATCTGTAGTGGTACAGCCATGTATACACTTGAGGTTGATTGTGCTTTAATAGCTGAAATTAAAACCTAGGGTTGGGCATTAAAAACTGTAGTTTTAGGCATTTATATGACATATTTCTATTATATTTAGGAATAAATTTTAGAAAAATAACAAACTATAACTGATGTGGTTATTCATTATTGACTAAGAACAAATCCAATTTTATGTATGTATCTGAGTAAATTTGTAAAACAAACTCCTCAATAAATTTTGTCAATCTCCTGATATTCAAGACCAAGTCAAAATATTAGCAGTGTCCCTATATTCAAGACCACCCTGAATATTTTCATTTTTACAGCCAGTTCCCAAAAGCTTCCCATAATTAAGAATTGAAAATGAGTGCTAGAGTATGCACATACCTAATTACTGGGAATTTATTTTGATCCACTTTGTTTTTAAAGTTGCTATATCTCTAGATTTAGCAATTTTGCATTAATTCACTGTTATGAATATTTTATATAGGAAATAACTTTTTGATAGTTGAGAAACAGAATTAAGACAGTGGATAGGTATCCAGAACATACATATTAAGGGTACCTTCAAGTATATAATATATAGTCTTAGAAAATAGGAGTTAAGGGGCTGGCCTGGTGACATAGCAGTTAAGTTCGCATGCTCCACTTTGGTGGCCCAGGGTTTGCCGGTTCAGATCCTGGGTCCCTTCTTCTTCTCCCCAAGCCCCCCAGTACATAGTTGTATATCCTAGTTGTGAATGCCTCGTTGTGCTATGTGGGACGCCACCTCAACACGGCCTGATGAGCGGTGCCATGTCCGCATCCGGCATCTGAACCAGCGAAACCTGGGCTGCCGGATTTTGCCCAACCGGAGCTCGTGAACTTAACCACTCAGCCCCAGGGCCGGCCCCTTTAAATTGGTTTTTAAGAGCCTTTTGTATTAGTAGGGTTGGTGAGCATCTATGTTAGATATATGTATCTTTTAAATTGTTTTTATTCTTTTAATTATCCTTATGGCTCGGGGCAGAGCTCTGAAGCCCCTTTGATTCTGCCTTCCCTTCTCAGTGTTGCCAGGTTGACCCTTTGTACCACGAACGCTGGTGTAGATGCTTGCTCACTGAAGAGGCATTACTGTTCATTGGTGTTTTAGGAACCTGTTACGTTCAAGGATGTGGCCATGGACTTCACCGAGGAGGAGTGGGGGCAACTAGACCCTGCACAAAGGGCCCTGTACAAAGAGGTGATGCTGGAGATCTACGGCAGCCTGGTCTCAGTGGGTGAGGACAAATGTGCTTTCAAGAACTTTTGTTTCCTTGGTCGTTAAAAGCTGTCAGCTCTTAAAGTGTTTAACTAAGCGAGAGCTTGCGATTCAAATATCAGAATGTCCAAATCAGTATTGAGAGAAAAATGTTGCTACCTAAGTAAAAACCTGCTTCCCCTCCCCCATTTGTATTTCTTTTTTGTTGTTGTTGGGGTGAAATTCACACAACAATGTTAACTACTTTAAAGTGTCCAATTCAGTGGCGTTTAGTTACATACAGTGTTGTATGACCACCTCTTCTGTCTCCAAAACGTTTTCATCACCCGGAAAGAAAACCCCCGTACCTGGTAAGCAGTCGCTCCCCATTCCCCCCTCCCTGTAATTGCTTTTTAATTAGAAGAATATTGAAACAAAGTATATTGCATATAAAGTAAAAAGTGTCTTTCAGACTATTTTCTATTTATGTGTAAGCAAGCAGAAAATATATAGCTCACACATATATTTAATGTCTATTCATGTATTTATCTATTTGTTTATTTTACAAAAATAAGTTCTACAACTTTTCTTTCAGTCACTAATATACATTAGATATCTTTACATGTCAAAATATTTAGACCTATTTCAGTCTTTTTAATGGCTGTATCATATTCCATTGTATGATGTATTGATGTACTGAAATTGATTTTTTAACCAGTGCTTTATTGATGGATATTTAAGATACCAATTTTTCTTTATTATAAATAATGCTGAAATAAATGTCCTTGTACTTGTATTTTCAGATACTTACTCCATTATTTCTATAGAATCAATATCTACAAGAGGAATTGGTGGGTCAGAGATGATATCTCTACTTTGCTATCAAATTGCCCCCTGAGAAGTGTGAATCAGTTATCTTCTCATCATGAGAATTCCCATTCTCCACACTCTCACTGACTCGTAATCTTTTTATTCTTTGCCTGTCTGAAAAGTAGAAATTACCATCTTCTGACTTTCTGCTAGTCTTCTCTTCCTCACAGTAAAATAGAAACTCTGCTCTTCAAGTTGCTTAGGCCAAAAACCCTGAAGTCATCCCTGACTCCGTTTCTCTCTCACCTCCTAATGAATCCGTCAGCAAATCTGCCAGCTCGCTTTCAGGTTGTATCCAGAGTCCAGTAACCCCTCACCACCTCCACTGCCGGTACCCTAACCTGATCAGCCAACCTTCCTCCCTCATTATGGAATAGCTTCCTCCCTGGTCTTCCTTCCTTCCTCACCCCATCCAGGCCCGTTTTTCATATGGCGATCACTCTCATCTTTTAAAACTCTAATTCAAATGCAAACCTTTTCATATGAGTGTCCTTCAGCTGGTGAATGGTTAAACAAACTGTGGTATGTCCATGCTATGGAATGCTGCTCAGCAGTAGAAAGGAACAAACAGTTGATTCACACAGCACCTTGGACAGATCTGAAGGGAACTGTACTAAGTAAAAAAAAAAAAAAAAATGTCAATCTCAAAAGACTACATACCGTATGATTTCATTTATATAGCATTCTTGAAAAGACAAAATTGTAGAGATGCAGAACAGCCTAGTAGTTGCCAGGGATCAGGGATGGGGAGAAGTGGGGAGTGAGATGGATCTGGCTATGAAAGAGCAGCATGAGGGGTCCTGTGATCAAACGGTTCTACGTCTTGACTGTGGGAGTTACACATCTCCACATGTAATGAAATTGCGAAGAACTAAGTACACACACACTCACAAATGAGTGCATATAAAATTGGTGAAACTTGAATGAGGTCTGGGAATTATTGACCTCATCATCTTAAATGGAAGCAAAATTATAAAAATTTGATTTGAAAAAATATATTTTCTGTAGAAATCTTAGAAAATACAGATGATTAATGAAATTCTATTCCACATTTTATTTTTAAAGGTTTTATTTTTCCTTTTTGTCCCCAAAGCCCCCTGGTACATAGTTGTGTATTTTTAGTTGTGGGTCCTTCTAGTTGTGGCATGTGGGACACCACCTCAGCATGGCTTGATGAGTGGTGCCACGTCCACACCCAGGATCCAAACTGGCGAAACCCTGGGCTGCTGAAGTGGAGCGTGTGAACTCAACCACTTGGCCACGGGGCTGGCCCCCACATTTTGTTTTTAAGTATATTCTATTAAAAAGGGAATATTATTCAGTGCTAAAAACAAATGAGCTATCAAGCCATGAAAAGACATGGAGGAAACTTAAATGCATATTGATAAGTGAAAGAAGCCAATCTGAAAAGGCTACATACTATATGATTCCAACTGTATAACATTCTGAAAAAGGAAAAACTATAGAGACAATAAAAAGATGGTCTCCAGAGGTTAGAGGGGCAGTGGAATTATTAGGCAGAGCACAGAGGATTTTTGGACAGTGAAAATATTTTGTATGATACTGTAATGGTGGATACATGTCATTATACATTTGTCAAAACCCATGGGGTATACAACACCAAGAATGAACCCTAATGTAAACTATGGACTTTGGGTGATAATTTCAACATAGGTTTGTTGATTATAACACATGTACTACTCTGTCCAGGGATGTTGATAGTGAGGGAGGTTTGTTGAGGGAAAAGGGGAACGGGCAGGGGGCATATAGGAACTCTGTATATTTTCTGCTCAGTTTTGCTGTGAATCTAAAATTACTCTATAAAATAAAGTCTATTTAAAAAACAAAACACTGCAGCAAAAACAAAAAACCAAAGTAAAGCAGTTGGGGTTAGAAAAATCAAACCCACAAACCAGAGAAAACATCTTGTAACATTTCATGTGTGTGCTTCCATTATTATTTCTGATACATAATATATACACATGTAAATATGTATTTATACAAAATGAGGTTATACAATTCATACTTTTGTAATCTGCACTTTGCATTCAATCTATTGTGCCCATCTTTCTTTTTTTTTTAATCTTTTCTGACTCATCAATCTCTTTCAGAAGATCCTTACCCCTAAAAGTTAACGGAAGTACATGCATACAAAATTTTTTATACGTTTCAGGAGATTCATCAACTCCTTAAGCCCATCCGTGAACCCGTATCCATTTTAATAGCTGCATAGTATTCCATTGTGTGGAACTACCTTGATTTATCCAAACATTTATTAATTGAATTAAATATGCTGGACACTGCTCTAGACACTGGGGATACAGCAGTGGACAAAACAAGTATCACCATGTGACATTTACAATGGGGGGAGAGATAGACAATAAATAAATAAATAAGTATGTATTAAATGACAGTGGGTGCCCCAAAGCAGGGTGAGGAAAGGTGGGGGTAATGGCAGGGTGGAGTGTGATCGGGGAAGGCCTCTCTGATAAGGTGACGTTTGGTCGGGGATCTGAAGGAAGTGAGGGAGCAAGCATTGGGGATATCTGGGGGAAGAACATTCCATAAACAGTCCCTTATTATTGTGTCTTAGTCCCTTTGGGCTGCTGTAACAAAATACCACAGAGCAGGTGGCTATACACAACAGAAATTTATTTTTCACAGTTCTGGAGGCTGGAGGTCTAAGATCAGAGTGTCAGTTTGGTCTCCGTGTGGCAGACTTCTCTTTGTATCCTCATATGGCTGGTGGACTCTGTGGGACTTCTTTTAAAAGGGCACTAATTCCAGTCTTGAGGGCTCTGCCCTTATGACCTAGTCACTTCCCAAAGGCCCCACGTCCTAATACCATCACCTTGGGCATTAGGTCTTAATTTGGGGGGACATGAATATTCAGACCATAGCATGTTGAATGTACGCCTCCTTTCCACTTATTTTCCTGTTAAACAGTACTTCAATCTGCATTATTGTACATTTGTCTGATTATTTCCTTAAGACAACTTTCTAGAAGTAGAATTGTGATGTCAAAGTGTAAGTACATTTTAAGGCTTTTAACACTCACCCCCGCAATGGAAATATCTCTATGCAAGCCGTTGTTCAAAGTACTTCACTGGAATTAACTGGTTTAATCTTTACAATAACCCTGTGAGATAGATGGGTATTAACATCATCCCCATTTTGTAGAGAAGGAAACTGAGGCACAGATATCTATTTTTCTGTCTATTCTGTAACCTCGTTACTTTTTAGTCACTGGTTCATCATGGACATGACTCCATATCAGTATATCCAGATCTGCCTCATCCTGTTTTTTTAACCTCATCCTTTTTTAAGAGCTGGACTGTATTCCATTGTACAGAAACACCGTAACTCATTCTAGTCTCCTCTTGATGGACATTTAGGCTATTTCCAGTCTGGCAGTATTATAATGTTGCAGTTAACATTCTTTTTTTTTTTTTTTTTTTTTATTAATGTTATGATAGATTACAAGCTTGTGAGATTTCAGTTGTACATTTTTGTTAGTCATGTTGTGGGTACACCACTTCCCCCTCCGTACCCTCCCCCCACCCCCCCTTTTCCCTGGTAACCACCGATCAGATCTCCTTCTCAATATACTAATTTCCACCTATGAGTGGAGTCATATAGAGATCGTCTTTCTCTGACTGACTTATTTTGCTTAACATAATGCCCTCGAGGTCCATCCACGTTGTTGTGAATGGGCCAATTTCGTCTTTTTTTATGGCTGAGTAGTATTCCATTGTGTATATATACCACATCTTCTTTATCCAATCATCAGTTTCTGGGCATGTAGGCTGGTTCCACGTCTTGGCTATTGTAAATAATGTTGCGATGAACATAGGGGTGCAACGGACTCTTGAGATATCTGTTATCAGGTTCTTAGGATAGATACCCAGTAATGGGATGGCTGGGTCATAGGGTATTTCTATTTTTAACTTTTTGAGAAATCTCCATACTGTTTTCCATAGTGGCTGTACCAGTTTGCATTCCCACCAACAGTGTATGAGGGTTCCTTTTTCTCCGCAACCTCTCCAACATTTGTCGTTCTTGGTTTTGGATGTTTTTGCCAATCTAACGGGGGTAAGGTGATATCTTAGTGTAGTTTTGATTTGCATTTCCCTGATGATTAGCGATGATGAACATCTTTTCATGTGTCTAT